GGCCGGCAATTTCCCGCCAAGATATTCCACCACAAACCTCAACTTCAGCTCATTGGAAATCGAACCCTCTCCCGCTTTCTTGGAACAACGGTATGCTTAGCTACGGAACATCTCAGCCGTTGATCAACAAGAACCACCAAAACACACCGAATAACAATTCCCTAAGCTTCGGACAACAACAACAACAACAACAACAACAACAACAGCATCAACAACCGTACGAAACCCTATATCAATCCTACATGCAAAAGAATATACCAAACCCTAGCCAACAAACCCTACTACCACAAGACACTTTAGCAGCAGCAACTAAGGCAATTACATCGGACCCGAGTTTCCAATCTGCGTTAGCAGCTGCTCTTACATCAATCATTGGCTCAGGCGGTCCTAATAACAATATTTCGACCTCGTTAGCCAATCAAAACTTAGGCGCAAAATCGGCTCAAATTAGTGACCAGCCTTTTCCTATTCTGTCTAGCTTTCCATCAACTTCGAATGCGAATAAATGTGCGCCACCGCATTTAATGAACAAGTCGTCGTCGAGTACTAGCGCACAAACGCGCGATTTGATGTTGCTCTCGCCTCCGTTTTCGAACTCGAAGAGTAAGTCCAACTCACCAGGTGACAGTAGTAAAGATCAAGTATAGTTTTGATTCGTTTTCATTTGCCCGAATTCTTGTTCGATCGATAGATATACCATCATTTTTTTTTTTTCAATGTGTTTAATTAGCTGGTGGGACGACGACTTTTTATCCCTTGCATGGATCGAACAATTTTTTAATTTTTTTTATTTTTATTTTTTGTGAGTGATGTAAGATGAAGAAAAATTGTGCATATAGATGGTGACATGGTGATGCTGGTGATCACCAGTTTTTTTTTTTTTTTTTTTTTTTTTTTGTATTATTCTTTAATGTATTTTCAAGAAAACACATAAATGTGAATAAATTTGTGTATTCTTTTTGGCAATGCCGTAAACAATTTGTTGACTCATCCAGTTCTTTTTTAATTTGTTTTTTTTCTTTCTTCTAAAATTGTAATTAATGAATGAAGTCTTTGACAGGGATACTTCTACTGTCGAAGCATGCACAAAATCGATAAATATCGATCATAATTTAATTATCTCTAATTAATGGTGATGGAGATTGGAGACTTTACGTACAAGTAGACTGTAGATATAACTGTTTAAAAAAACAAATTACAGGCCTTTTTTATGTCGATTTTTTTTTTTTTGTTATAATTTATAGTAATAAAATTGTAATAATATTATACAAAAAAAAAAATGGGTTCAAGCTAGAGGTCGAGGTCGAGCCCAAAGAAAAAAACTCGAAAAGCTCGAGCTCGTCAAAATGAATTCGAGCTCGCCAAAACAGTCAAGCTTGGCTCGAGTTCAGCTCGTTTACACCCCTAACTAAAAATATAAATTACCTTCATTAACTTTAAAAATTCATTCGAGGTACATTATGCATGATTTATTGGTTTCGAGAATACAAATTAATTACTGTTTTTTTAGGGTACAAAGTGTCAAAAAACTATATTTCAAGGATGCAAAGTGCACTAAACCTAATAAACCTAATAGTAGTGATATTGATTAATAAAAGACTTCTACCTTAACAAAAGTAGATAAAAATTAAATTACTGCATGATGAATAGATAGGTTGAGCAAACAATAAATACCTTAATTTTTCAAAATATTTTTAATTCTCTAATATACGGTGGATATATTTGCAATAAATAGGTGAGGGCATCTTTATAAGTTATTATAACACATCACTCCTTATATAATAATGAAAAACAATTAATTGTTCATACTTGGGGTGCAAGTCGGAATGGAATTTTCAATTTCCGCTGATTACGATTCGAATATTTTCAATTTTCGAACAATATACTTTTTCTTATTTCGATTTCCAAATTTTCCAAATATATTTGGATTATAATTGAAAATACATGTTGACTTTTTGGAATTTTCAATTTTTCGATTCGATTTTAATTTCCAAAAAGCTAGCATTACAAAATACATGCGATCCTCACAATCTCATTGTTTCATTTCGAAAATATGTTGTCGTGAATGTTGCGGTCAAGGCTACAATACTATATGGCCGAATTTATAGTTGGATAGAATAATGTAAGGTATCGTAGAAATATTGAATCAACGAATAAAGCTCGATTGTTCGACTAATAAAACGATCTCCTATTTTGGCTGTTTAGTGGACGTGGTGGTATTATCTATTAAAAAAAAAATTGATAGTTCGTACATTTTTGTTCTTACTTTATTTCGTGTTTAATTTCGTCTTTATATTTCGGAATCCAATTTTATTTAAACTAAGATTCTTTTAAATTTTCCGAAAAAAGAAAAGAAATTGGAAAATATGGATTCGAGTTACGGAACTCGAATCAACCTAGACCGATTCAGCACCATAAAAAGTCTGAGTTAGCGAGTTAGGCCAACTCGAACGCAAGACTCTTGAGATATTTGGCAAGGCCCACATAAAAAATATCGTGCCCACTTGCCAACTGGTAAACCAACGCCATTTGACCACTTTACCCCTTAAAACTGTGAATCGGTGATTATTTAACAATATTAATTCTTAAAAACAATATTTAATTTGACCAACTATATCATGTACTAGTGTGGGGCAAGGTTGACTATGCATTTCAATGTAATATCCGAGTTATATTAATTGAATCACACTTAATGATTCGAGTTTGACTCTCTCTATTACATTTTCTAAGTTGACCTTGTGCACATGGTTTTTCTAGTACAATTTAGATTTTTCAGTGTAGTTTACGAGCCATTGCACGAGAATAATCGCAATAACGAAATTTATTCAATGCACATATATAATAATGACAGTTATTTGTATTTGTTCGCGAACAAATCAACAAGGACATTTTTGTAAAAACTTCTCTTATCTTTACGAAGGACTAAAAGTTGTTAGAGAAATTCACACACCTCAAGTCGAAGATTTTGTAGATCCTACACTTAGAGGTACATTTTGGACTCGTTCATTTACTTATGTCGCAATAGTTTGAATTAGATGAGATTAGATTATTTTTTACCGACATTCGATTCACTGATTAGATTTTGTATTAAGTGTATTAAATTCTTATATTATATGAAATTTATTTATAAAGTCTCTTATTTAATAAAATTAACATGTAGTTTGGATGATAAAATAGTCACTCATTTATTTAGCCACTCCCTATTAAATTTATGTCAAGAGATGTATGGTTTTAATTTAATAAAAATAATATTCCATCTGTCCCTTATTATATGTCTTTTTGGGTGTGTTTTTGTCCTAATTATTTGTCATTTAGAATTTCAATAAAGTACTAATTGTATTTTTATCAATTTTGTCTCATCTAACTCTTAATTAGTTAATTAAAAAATAATTAATGACAAGGGTATTTTAGCATTTATTGTGTTAAATTTGGTATAATTTATGCATATTTATTGAATATCTTAATATACGCCTAACTACCTAAAACGACATATAATATGAGACGGAGTGAGTAACGTTTAATAGCAAACTTTAATTTTTGTGGCAGGTTTGAGTACACATAAATTTTGTCAGCCGAATATGTTACTGGTCCCTACTATTTATTTAGTCAGTAAAACCTTATAATTGTAATCGTAATTAAAAATTAATTTATTTATATACACACACACGCACACAATAGAGTAATTGACAATATATCTACACATGTAAGAATGGAAGTGGTAATTACTAATTACTAATTAATTACCACATAGCGACAAGTTGGAGGGTTGAAAAATGGAATTTACCGTTATATATAAAAATATATTAAAAGAAATTATAGTTTTATTTGTTCATTCTGGTCCTCTTCTTCTTCTTCTCCTCTTCAGCTCCATCCCTTCACGCAACAGGTAATTTGCGTATTCAGCTTTCTATAATTAGATTTTTTATTCGCATCTGGATTATTTATTTCTGAATTAATTTTGCTGATTAATTAGTTTCAATTCAATTGAGTTGAGTTTAGTCTTCATATGGAAAGAAATGATTAATCCGATTCAGAGTAATTATATATTGGTTTTGTTTTGGAGTAATTTGTTAATTAATTTAGCTGAATCTTTTCTTTTTTCCTCAATAAAAAGCGATTCTTTCGAAACTCGACTGGGTAACCTAGAAATTGGGTGTATTAGTTTATACGGACGGATTAAGTTCAAGCTGCTTTGTGCTTGAGCTAGATTTGATTTAATTTGTATATTTGTTTTATTTTATTTTTCTAATTGAGCTCAAGCTCGATCCGAACTTTATGTACTGCCGAACGGAAATTTATATATGTTTGTGTTTGGTTCGGTATACTAACAAAACAATCTCAAAACATGGTTTTAACTATCGATCCTTATATTCAGTGGCGAGTCCAGGAATTTTGTACAGTGTGGGCTTAAAATTTTGGGGGTCTGGGGGCAGTTCCCCCAAAAACAAAATCGAACCTTTTTTTTGGATAAATTAAGAAGAGAAAAAACTTGAGGTTTTTTTTTTTTTTTTTTTTTTGCATAATTTGAGTTTTGGGTGGGCTATATATATATATATATATATATATATATATATATATATATATATATATATATATATATAGGGGGTGCTTGAGTCCTGCTTATATTAGGTATTCTAGTATTGAGTATTGGAAATGTTAATTTACCTTCGGGGAGTTGGTTTCGGGGACCGGAAATTCTTGTTACTATTGGTGCGAATTAATCGTTTTTTTTTTTTTTTTTTTTTTGGTAATGATGATTAGGCAGTTGAGATGTCGACTTCAGCTAGGAAGAGGCTGATGAGGGACTTCAAGAGGTTGCAGCAGGATCCACCTGCCGGTATTAGCGGCGCTCCGCAAGACAATAACATTATGCTGTGGAATGCCGTTATTTTCGGGTGCGTAAATTAATTTTTTGATCAATTAAAAATTGAGCATGCTTTTTTTTTTTAGTTCAATTCAATAATATCTCCGTTAATTTTCTTGTAAATTGTATATAGAGTTGCATAAGAAATTTTATGGTTTCCTTTCTCATGTGGTGTGGGGATTGCAGTCCAGACGAGACGCCTTGGGATGGAGGTGAGTCAGTCGTGAATCTAATTTTTTTTTTTTTTTTGTTTATCATATTTGTATGCTTCGGTTTTGTTGGCAATAACTTCGTTATTTGCCACTTTATATAAACGAGGAATATTGTACTTCAATATTATCGACTTTTACCTTATTTGTTCTTAATATTTGGCAACTTCAACTTTATGGGATGTGCTTTGAGTGTAATAGGTACGTTTAAGTTGACTCTTCAGTTCAACGAAGATTATCCAAACAAGCCACCGACTGTTCGATTTGTTTCTCGAATGTTCCATCCAAATAGTAAGATGAAAAGTTCAATGTATATATATTTAATTTGATTTATAAGCTTAATTAGTATGAGTTCGGACTTTGAAATTTGAACCGTGTTTTTAATCAGTTTACGCGGATGGAAGTATATGTTTGGATATTCTGCAAAATCAGTGGAGTCCTATATACGACGTTGCTGCTATACTTACATCTGTCCAGGTAAAATTGCAATTTCAAGAATTGTAGATCAAAGTTGAGAAGCATGTTGCTAATTAAAAGGGAATAACTATGAGACCCTAAAAAATTGTTTTATAGCGTAAATTACGGCCACACCCCTGAGGTAAGGTGAAATTACGAAAAACCCCTCATGTTTGGGGTAATTACAACCACCCCTCAACTATGAGTCTTCTTACATGTCCACCCTTATGGTGTAAAATTCAACATAATCTTCTAGATTCCGTGTAATGTTCTTTTGTTTGTACTCGTTTTGTGTAAAAATGCAGTTCTAGATACACCACAATCTGATATTTACAAGCCAACAGATACATCTTATGATCATCTTGTTTCAAAAATATGGGCTCGAATGAGATAGAACGGGTACTAACATGAGGGTTTTTTTCGTAATTTGACATTACCTCAAGGGTGTGGCCGTAATTTATCCTTGTTTTATAATTGGTGGGGATATGTTTTTCTTGGTTAATAATTATTTAAAAAAAAAAAAAGCAACAGCTGTATTTATGAATGTGGTCCTCTCTCTATTGTTAAATTACGAAGTTGTCATAAACTATTATTTATTGTATTTTCGTTTACGTTACGCAGTCGTTGTTGTGCGATCCAAATCCGAATTCTCCAGCAAATTCGGAAGCTGCTAGAATGTACAACGAGAATAAGCGAGAGTACAATCGCAGAGTTAGGGAAGTTGTGGAGCAAAGCTGGACTGCCGATTAAACCGTGTTGGACGGATTATAAGTTGGTAAGTAAATGAATGCAGCTCATTTACAAGCTTAAAAAAAATCGCCCCCCATCGGGAATTAAATTTTTGTGCCTTTCGAATGGATATTTGGCACTCTTATTGCGGTCCGATTTAAGATGTTAACGGGGTTTTGTAATATTGTTACACTGAAGACTTCTTTTATTGCTTTGTGTATTGTAAATAAGGATCTTACGCGTTGATTTGTATTGCGATTTCTAAACGAACTTATCTCTGGGTGCACTCGAGCTCGTTGAAAGACTGGGAATGTGTTTGTATTATTATTATGATTCAGTTGTTCCTGCTATAGTTCTTCATATAATTTAAGCACTCCTATAAATGTATTTAGCTCACCTCATTTTTATTAATTAGTCCACCCAAATTTCAAATCTATGCAAAAAAAAAGGTCTTAAAACCAATTCTCCTTTTTTTCTTTTCTTTACCTATTTCCTCATTTTGTCTATTTTATACAAAAAAAAAAAAAAGGCAACTTTTTTTTCGGGGCAAAAAAATTAAGCTCATCCAGTAACAAATTCCTGAAATAGGGGCCTATGTTCTATCTACGAGTGAAAGTCGGATGGATCGGATTGGAATTAGTCTTTTCGGAAAATTTTCAAATATATTCGGAAGTATAAAATCAGTTCCAATTACAAAATCCTTTTCGGAATTTCGGAAAAAAATCGCAATCATATAAGTTCCAAAATTTCAAAATTTAGCGAAAATTTTCTGAAAAATTCATAATTTTTCAAAAATAAGAACATTTATGTCGATAAAAGTAAGACTAATAACTACTAAATTTCAGTTTTAAAGGAAATAAATAATAAATAACGACATTATACTATTCAATAAAACTTCTAACAACAATTCAACATGTCAATATTCTAAAATAAAACTTAAATCAAATCCATGTTTCAGAAAACAAAATAAAAACTTAAAATAAGTATTATATATTATATCATATTTATAGGTGTATTTTTCGGATTTTTTTTGGATTTAATTTCGGAAATTAAATCGGATCAGAAATCGGAGATTCCAACTTTTTTATATAATTTCAATTTCAATCCAAAAAATTCGGAAAATTTTGGAAATTGAATTTTTGAAAGTCCGAACTTTTCATACCAAAACGACGGAAATTGAAATTTCCGTTCCAACTTGCAACCCTAGTTCTATCATTCTTACAACATTCTCTACCTACTTGAGTTTGAGAATATTTGAACTACCCAACCTACTTTTAGCATCATGAAATAAGAACTTTCCTAATAAGGTTGTATTTCCGTCCTAACTACATCATAGTTATTATCATAGTTATTAAACACATTAGTATTTTGCCTTGTGCGTTGAGCGGACGGATATTGAAAAGAATATAATGTAAGCAAAATTAGAAATTAGTAATATGATATGTACAATAGCAAAACAATGGAAAACCGAAAATGTAAAAATTTTACTAATTGCAATCTTAATTTGTATATCTATTTTAACAATTAAGAGCCTGTTTGGCTAAGCTTATTTAAAACATCTTATAAGTTCCTACATCTGATAAGATGTTTTAGGAGCTGATAAGCTGTTAGATCTTATTTTAAAAATTATTTTTTAAGGTGTTTGGATATGTAGCTTATAAGTTACTTTTTGTTTTTATAAGTTGTTCAGGTGTTTGGAAATAAAAGGTCTGTTTATTGCTATAATGACAAAAAAGTACATGACGCCAGTATAATTGTTAAACTTATTTGACTCAAATACTTTTGTTCCTAAAATATTATTATAATATTTACAAATTATTTTTTCAAATAATAATAATAATATAAAATTATATAATAATATAAAATAAAAGTTGTAAAAGAAATATAATTTTTTTTTGTAGATGAAAGAAATATAATTTATTATGGAGATAATAAGAATATTCGTGTATTTTTATATACATATAAAATATAAATAGAAAATATTTTTTTTACAATTATTATGATAATTACGATAATTATATTTAACTAATTATTAATCTTGATTACAAGAATACGTTGTTTTGATAAAATATAAATATTATTAGTATTCATGTAATATAATAAAGTATTTGAGGGTAATTTTGTATTTTAAGTGTTTTAGTAAAGAAGCAAATAAGATTTTAAAGAAAAAAGGTGGGGTAGAGGTACTTTTTTTAAAACATCTTATAAGCTCCCTAACAGCTTATTTTTGGTAAAAATAAGATCTTTTGCAATTTTTTTACCAAACACCTTTTAACAACTTATAAGCTCCTAAACATCTTATAAGATGTTTTTAGGAGCTTATAAGCTTAGCCAAACAGGCTCTAAATTTAATACACATACATGTGCTATAAAAAAGGAGAGAAAAGTTAGTGCTGGAAGGGTAAAAAAAGAAGAAAAAAGAAAAAGAAACAAACGTGAAAAAATATTCAAAGTTGATCGTGTTTAGTGGGGAAGGGAAAAATGAAGAAAAAACGAAAAAACAAAATAAAAAAATGTGTCCTATAAAAAATGAGAGAAAATTTAGTGCTTGAAGAGAAGAAAAAAAAGAAGAAAAAAAGAAAAAGAAAATATTTGAAAATAAAAAATGTGAAAAAAATTGACCGTGTTTAGTTGGGAAGGGAAAAAAGGAAGAAGAAAAAAAGAAAACAATTGAAAAAACCGAAACGTGATCGATGAAAAAGGGAAAAAAATTATTTTGAATGTGCTATAAAAAAAAGAAAATAAAGGAAATAAATATTTCACAAAAATATTTAAAAAAAAAAACTGCTTTTAAGATTTGGGAGCAAACTTTTCTTTTATATAAGCATAACATTGGAAAAATAAAAAATTGAAAATCAAATTTTTGGAATCGGGGATAAAATCGAAAATTCGAAACCGACAGCGAAAATTGATAAAATCCTATTCCGATTTTCAATCCAATGTGGGCCATATGAGTGTGGGCATCCATATAATAAATTCATAATCATATAAAAGAAACTTTCTTTCCCCTTCACTTCATTTCACAAGGGCTCCACCACCACCGCACCACCACCCATTCTCCGGCGAGGAGGAGGACTTCACACACAAAAGCTCCGTTACAGGTAAAATTGATTACTAATCTTACTGTATTGTTTCAATTACCGATAAATTATATTAGGGTTTTTAATTGAATGTATAAATTTGGGTAGATCTTGACAGGGAAAAGAAATTGTTTATTCTCTTTAGATTAGGGTTTCAAGTAATTGAATTTTATTGAGCTTTTCTTGTTTGAATTATTGGATTGTAGATCAAGCGTCGGACTGTAGGAAGAAAATCAAAATCATTTTTTCTTTATTATTATTATTTTTCCTTGATGAATTTCGGTAAGGTTATTTCTTAATTTTGATAATTAATTTTGTAAAAAAAAATTAATTATGGGCATATATGTATAGGCATCTACAATGTCAACTCCAGCTAGGAAAAGATTGATGAGGGATTTCAAGAGGTTGCAGCAGGACCCGCCTGCCGGTATAAGCGGTGCACCGCAAGACAATAATATTACGCTATGGAATGCTGTTATATTCGGGTGAGTGGATTTTCGTTTCGTCGAAATGAATTAAGCTTCTCCTTTTCAATTTCATTTTTTTTTCATTCGATAATAATGTATACATAAAGTTAGATTAGATATTTTTCTGATATATTTTCTCCTTTTGATTGCAGTCCCGATGATACACCTTGGGATGGAGGTGAGAAAAATCGGTGCTTATTCCCGATTGATTAATTTCTTGAATTTATTCTGATATTTTTTCATACTTTTACGGGCAATGTGCGACATGATTTAAATATTTAGTTCCTAAATAAATTCTTCGATCTTCCACAAACACCTGTTTCGAAAAGAATAAGGTTATTTATTTGCTTAATGCATGATTTGTTTTTCCATTGTATCGTTGATTTATTTCATGCAATATTTGGCTTATTAAAACGAGATGTATGACAAGGAAAAGACCGATAAAGTATTCATTCATCTTTGTGTGCGTACAAATTAATAATTTCTCATGTGGTCCAACAAGTGCGTCTTATGCATTATTAATTGGTTATGCTCTGAGTGTGATAGGTACGTTCAAATTGTCGCTTCAATTCACAGAAGATTATCCAAACAAGCCACCAACTGTTCGGTTTGTTTCTCGAATGTTCCATCCAAATAGTAAGTCGGTGAAAAAATATATCTATTGATTGTATTTATTATCTTAATCTGAGAAAAGAATTTGAAATTTGAACCGTATTGTTAATCAGTTTACGCGGATGGAAGTATATGTTTGGATATCCTTCAAAATCAATGGAGTCCTATATATGATGTTGCTGCTATACTTACATCTATCCAGGTACACTATTTTCTTTTCTTTTTTTACTTAAGAATGCAACTTCACCGTTTTTTATGCTGTGCTATTTAAGAAAAAAAAAACAAAAAAGGGCAGACGACTATTTAAGCAAAATCTAACGAGTCTGAGTTAAAGTTGAAAATACACGATTACTCATTCACTTTAGAAAAATCAAAGTTTCTTCATTTATATAGTCTTCTTGAAACCGTAGCGAATATATGCTTGTTGGGTAAAGGGTATTTAAGGAATCTGACAGCTTTAAACATAAAAGCATACATCTTTCTTGACGAGCTTTTAGAATTCTTCTGGCGGTGTGAAATATACATCTCATATTAGTGGCCGTTCTGTATCTTACCCTATCATTTGTTATTTCGTATTCATAAAAATGATTTTGTTCAATAGAAAATGCATGCATATATATCTTCCAAGAATAATCTCATTTAATTATTCGACGAGTTCTAACTAAGTTATTCACATATAAATTATAATAAATTTACGAGCTACCAGTTAGTAGGTACCGTCTTTCCATGAAGATGTTATCTGTTTCTTCAAATCTTCTCAGGCTATATAATTATCAGTGATTTTAATGTAGTAAACACGTGTTCGGCGTACTATGTTGTTAAGAGTAGTGGCATATTTTGATAAGGCTACAACTACTGTGAAAATGCTTTTGTTTCTCGAATTGCACAAGCTTTCGGGCTTGCTTAATCTCAATGGTCAATTAATTAGTTTATTTTTGTCACGAGAAAGTGAAAAGTATGTTCTGAAGAAAAAATAATGTATCTTGATTCAAAGGGGATAGAATACGAGAGCCATTCAACGTGATTGTTCTCTACGTGGGTTATCTTTATTTTCGACTAATAAATTGTTATTAAAAAAAGAAATGATAAGTACATTTATGTTATTGCTACAGTCATTGCTTTGCGACCCAAATCCGAACTCTCCGGCAAATTCAGAAGCTGCTAGAATGTTCAGTGAGAATAAGCGAGAATACAATCGCAGAGTTAGGGAAGTTGTCGAGCAAAGCTGGACTGCCGATTAACCCTGTTGCCCTTAGGCTAGAAGGCCTAAATATTATGCTGCAAGATTCTTGTTTCTTTTTTTTCTTCTTTTAATATTGTAAAATAGAATTCTATGCACTGATTTGTGTTTGGGATTGTAATGAAATTAATATTGCTGAAAACTGTGATGGTTGGTTATGAGATATTTTTCAATGTTATATGCATTAGTGTGAAAATCTCATCTTGTTCTTGATTGAGGCTTTGATATCTTCTTGTAGGGATTAAAAAAGTCAAATGTTTGACCACTTTTTTTTTTCTTCATGGGATTTATGATATACTAAAGATGAGATAGTACATTGATGTTCAGTTTGTTGATGTTCAAATGGTTTCACTAGTTTTTCATGTTAAACTAGGTTGGAAATTGGAACGGAATTTTTTGAAACCACTTCGTATTGCATAGTACAATATAGATTTCATAGATAATCATACAGAGATTAATACAATTTATTACGCCACTAAAAAAAATACGCACCATGCGAAAAGGAAGCAGTGATTTAGTCTCATTACAATGGAAGTTGTCGATATACCCTGCGCAGATCCTTCCTGTATTGCCCTTACGAAAATATATCTCTAAATTACATAAACAGAGAAAAATGAGGATGTAGTTAGCCAGTAAAAGATTAGCCCTAAAACGAATAGATTAATTAATCATCAGTACGTCTGACGAACTAGATTTTTTTTTTCGCTCGAAGTTAATTTATGATAGAAATTGGATCAATGATGCACTTTACGTGTTCTCAAATCGATCAAAATCAGTTGAAGTGTTGGTCAACTAATTCAAGAAGGCTTCAAAGTTACGTTCGAAGACAAATATTTCCTAACCAACGATTTCATCAAAGAAAATTCGAACGGGGTTTTCGGTATAAAAGACTTGGGCATTATCATCATCATCATCAAGCAAGGAATGTGGAGAATGATTTGCCCGAGTTCGACGATCGGCTTTCTGAGTAATAATTTACAAAGCAAGTTAAGTTGGAAAGCAGAATAAGATTAGCCAATATAAGATTAAATAATCTAATGAAAGCCAATTATTTTATTGGAGCTCGCGATATCCAACAAAAAAAACTCACTAGAAGGCAAGATAAGCCATGATTACATGATTTAGACGGGTCGACCCGACAATTTATTTGGATACCAAAGATCATATTAATTCCAACTCTTTAGTTAATCTAGCTTATCTTAACAACCAAACATGGCCTAAATATGTTAAATTATCTTCATTAGCTTAAAAAAATCATTTGAGGGTGTAATATGCATGATTTATTATATTTTGAGAGTGCAAAATGCTATTAATGTTTTTTGAAGGTGCAAAGTTACAAAAAGCTATATATTTCAAGAGTGCAAACTGGAATAAAGCCGTTTATATATTCTAAACTAAAGTGAAATTGCTAATCATTCAAAATATCATTGACCACTTGCCTTTCTTTCTTTTAAGTACAATTTAAAAATAAATTGGTTCAAAATAATAAAAAATACAGAAGTGTGTAAATTGTAAAGATAGGCTCATAGTATAAAGAAAAGACAATCAAGAACAGAGACCACACAATTACAAACTTCACACACCAAACCAGACTCAAAAAAGACAGTTCCACCTTAGTATTCAGTATCATATACAATTGGAAAGAAACCCAACCAAAAACTCATTATTAATAAGATATTCGTTTAAACTTCAGACTCGATGATCTCTTCCGTTCGCTGCGCAACCTAAAACAACGAAAAAATTAATGGAAAAAACCATCAAAACCGATAATAATTAAAAATTTGGGAGAAGCATAAATATAACGAAAAATTGCATTGAATCGCAATCACTTACCATGTTTTCTTTGTTTTCCTGCAGATTTCCATCTGATGGAGTGTTAAGAGGACCTGCAATAGTAAACATGAGAAGATATAAAATGTATACAGATCAACAATTTCGGGATGTAAAAAAAATCGCTAAACGAATCGCTGACATCACCTTCCTCAGGAGCAGATTTATTTGCCTGCTTCTTCACCTTTTCCTTATCTTGCTTCGTCGGTTTTTGAGGTTTCTTTTGGACACTGCGGCCCTTGACTTCAGGAGCAGCCTTTGAGATTGCAGCATTCTTGCGTACTGGTCTTGTGGTTTTCTTCACTGGACCATCATTCTGAGTGGTTTCATTGTTTGCTTTGTTTGCTTGGCGAATTTCACCGGCATTTATGTCCAACGACTTTGGTTTCAGCTTCTCAGCATCAGTTATAGAAGACGAAGAGCTATTAGCATCGTCATCGTTGTCAGATAACTGGTTACCCTCAGCGGGCACTTGTGGACAGGTTTCGGAGCCCTGTGATGATTCGAAGTTTTCAGATATCTTATAGCTGTCGAACACTTCTTTCACCGTTTCTCCAAGTTCCGAAAGGTTGTGATTGCGCGCGTACATTTTTAGTTCGTCGCTCATCCTCTGTATAGGCTGCACTCACAGTTCAAATCATTAGTGAACAAATCAATATGACCATTACAAGAGTCTACAATTGGGAAACCCCCATCACAAAGTTCAAGAATTTGGGTACTAATTCGAAAACAGTCCCTTCTCAGTCAACAACTTTAGCTCATTTGACTAATCCTTATCCCATGCATTTAAGAACTGCAATAATGTCCCAAATGAAAAGAAGAAAGAAACAAGAAATTCACTAGCTTGCCGTCAACACTTCGGAACACATCCATAAACTAATCAATGCTAGCATGTATTGTGCCAACTTCAAACTAAATATTCAAATTTTCAAATTAGAGTGCATAAATCACCATAAATAAGTGAAAGCATTAAAGAAATTGAAGGTCACAAGAGTCCACAATTGGGGGACCCTCGTCACTGAGAAACAAGAATTTGGGAGGTAATTCGGAAACACGGTCCCTTCCCAAGTGACAAAACTAGCCCATTTGGCAAGATTATGATATGCACAAAACCAATCTAAGCATTTAACAACTGCAGTAGATGTGTAGAAAGAAAAGAAATTCACATCCATACAGTAGCCAACGCTAGAACATATTATGCCATAACTCATCATACGAAATATTCGAATTTTCAAATTAGAGTGCATATGATATGTAATCATTGAAAACCTTGACTAATGAGTAATTTATAATTTTTTCTATATACCTCACATCCAGCCTCCAAAGCAAGCTTGAAGAAACCAAGAGAGATTGAGTGCTTAGCAGCAGATTCAGAGAGCTTAATCTGAGAGAGCCAATAAGAAGCTGACGATAGAACACTGAACTTTTTCCGATTATTAGATGACCTCGAAACATCAGAGAGAGGTGTGTCACTACTTTTTCCATGGTTGACACCATTCCTCTTTGCCCTAGCCTCGGAAATCGGAGTGATAGTTCCGAAAGATTTTGCAGCAGGGCTTGCATTTGACTTCGAAGGAACCGAGAGACGTCTAGGCGGTTTAGCAGACTTCTCCTTGACGGAGAGATCAAGAACATTCACACTCTTACTTACAGATGATGCAGCCCTTCCCCTAAAAATAAACATACCCCATCGAAATAAGTAATTATACTATTTTAAAAGCATCGTAAAATGGGTAATATATATACTGCAGAAAGAATATAATATCCTGTCGATACTTTTACGGATTGAATTCGTGAATTGAGGGCATTATAGACAAATGATTTCCATTTTTTTCATCTTTCCCCCTACACTCTAGTTCACACATTGATTTTTCGAATTTGGCACCTCGAGTTTTTTCTATTTGTTTTCAAAATTTCATGTAGTTACCCCAATCGGAAACATATTTTTACAAGTAAAATCCTTAATGTTCAGAACTGGAACCCTAAATTTTATTATTCACGGATGAAACTGTCTTATTAACCCCCGATCCTAAATCCCCCATTAAAGAAACTTATGAGTTAAAAATTCAATTAAATTCAAAAAACAAAATTAAGGATAGCACATAACTAACAAGCGATTAAATCACGATATTTAATTAAGAAGACAAAATTGATACAAATACAAACACCGACGGACCTTTTAGAGGCGGAGTTGGTGGAATCGGCAAGCGGCGGCTTCTCCTCCTTGGCTCTGGTCGCAGATCGGAGCGGATATCTGAGAAGCTTCGAGGTCGATCTTCCTACTCCCAAATTCAAACGGAAAATTAGGGAAATTAAAAAAAAAATCCATAAAAATTGATGATTCTCAACAAAAAATTACCAGAGGCAGACGATTGCTCTTTGGCGGAAGGATCCTCCATAGAGAGAGACATTTCTTCTGCACGAAAACAGAGGAGAGAGAATATTGCTGAATTGGGGTGATGGGAGATTGAGAAATGTATACAGAGGAGCGTTCTACTTTGTCTCTATATATATAGTGGTAATGGGCGGGAAAAAGAAAGGGGCTTTAAGGAAAGAGAAGAAGAAACCTCTGTCAAAGAACGGCTCTTGCGGGACCCGCTATTTTTTGAAATTTCGAATTTCAAATTACTACTTTGGTCAAAAATAAGTAAATTAAGAAAGGAAATAAATTGTATATTGTGCCCCAAACTGATTTTCGTTTCATTTGGACTTATCCAAAATTAAGGGTTAATTGTGTTTTGCACCTTGAAATAATATGGATTGGCGAATTGCACCCTTAAATTCTAGAATTGAAAAGTTCACCTTAAATTATGTATCTAGTGAAAAAATATGCCAACTATTTCTTAGTGATATTTGAACTAAATGATTAATATATGGGGTTTTAGCTCGTAAGTTTCGTATACTAGACACTGCACTTCTTTCTTTTAAGTTCGCTTGCAATTAGCTCTTTATATGTCCTAAAATGTCGGGAATATCCCTTACTATATATTAGAATTACAACTACACCTACTTAAACAAAAGTTGCTTCTCATAAAAATGTGCTTTTTAACAAAATCGTTTTTCAATACATACTTATTTTTTTCATTTTTTAAGATCTTTACTTTAATTTTTACCAAATACTTTGGAAGAACTCAGCTCATAAGCTTATACAAACACTCTCTTCATCAAAATAAAAAAGATACACAATGAAATCTTGAGAACGTTGTAAGAACAGTGTAAGCCAAATACATTCACTTTTATTCTCTGAACCCAAAATTCACAACTATAGAACAAAAAAATAAAAATGTACACAAATCCATTTCTTTCTACACAAGACACAAAAAATGATTTGTAAACCCAAGAATTCTTCAATTGACAAAAAAATCACAGCAATATTAAATTTAACAAATTTACACAATTTTTGTAGTAGCTTCCAAGAATCGAATCATCGCAAATCGGAATCAAGAATCTGCGAAGGATCAATCACAATTCCACGAAGCTGTCGATTTCTTCCATGAGGAGTGGAAGATGTAGGTGGTGGCAGGTCAACATGTGATGGTATAGGAATCGACTCTGAATAACCGGAGATGCAAAGCGAACCGGAATCATCTTGCTGCCAATATACCTCCACCATTATGCCTCTACCATTTTCTGACGATTCCGTCCCTGGTATTCCAACATACCTTGCTCCAATAGGTATCTGCACATTTGTTTTTTAGAGGAATATCACTACTTTTTGACCGACAAATACATTGAAGTTTGTTTGAATGGATTTTCGAGTTATCGTGGTGGATTTAAAATTCTCTACATCCATTAATTTTAAATATTGGAACCTTCTAGAAGATCGAAGATCAAGTTACATGCAGATCATGCAAACCATAGTTGATAGGGTTAGTTAATTAGCCGTTAGTTGAACTAACAATCGGTTTATGTTTAGGGTTTATTGCATCCAACACCCCTGTGTTAAGTCTAATTGCTAAGAAAAATCCCCATGTTATAAATATTAGCAAAAACCCATATAATGTAATTTTTTTAGCAAACTACCCCTAAAAGCTCATCATTTAAGGGGTTATGTGCTAAAAAAAGGCATCATAGGGGGGTTTTAGCTAAAAAATTATAACACGTGGAGTTTTTTAGCAATTCGTAAATGCAATGCATCTATTGATCTCTCTCTCCTATATAAAGAGGATCGAGCTCTCACTGTAAACCACTTTTCAGTTTCTAAAAGTTCAATATCGGATATCAGTTTATGTAGTGCAATATTAAATATTGCAATCCAAACGAAGCTTAAGTGTTTAGCGTAGAAAAGCACTTACTTCAACTGAAGCTCCAGAGTTGAGAACAAGGGTTGCAAAAACTCCCTCAGCCGCTGCACTTTCCAACTCTGCCTTTTTCGCTATATTCAGAAAAACTTCTTCTAAAGTTGTTAGGCCAAGTTGGATATCTGCTATACCAAATTCCTTCTCTCTCTCCTGAAGCTCAGCGAAGAAGTTCTGAATACAGAAGAGCAATTTAACATTAATAAAATGATAATTATCTTGTGCTATAAACTATCAATTTACATTAATGCCTCGTTCGGTTGTTAAGATTAGCCACGATTAACTTAATAATTGGACTTTGTTTGATGTTTGGTAGACCCAATAGTTTTCCGGGTCGACATGCAAATATTATTTTATCATGGCCAATCTTGCCTTTTGGGGAGATTATTCATTGGACCTCCTATGGTCCAATTATATGATTGGGCTTTCATTAGATTATCTAATCTTATCTTAGGAACCAAACGATGACTAAGAAAATGATAATAACTTGTGTTTACCTTCAATAGCTTCTCCTTTTCATGGGGGATAACAAAGGTGAGGAACGACTTGCTCTCTTCTTTAGGTACAACATCCAAATGCTGCAACAATCGAATTAGAAAAATAAGTATTCCCGAGTTCAAATCTTTTTTATTTATAATGTCGGTGACAGTTTTACTTACCGATTTAAAGAAATCTTTGACAACTACGTGTTGAGCTGTAGTCGAGGAAGTATTATCTCCTCTTTCGGGGGTACCATTAACATCTCCAGCAAAGCTTATATTAGCGATAAAACCTGTTCCGAATCTTGATTTCAGCCTTATTGAAGTTCCAATACAGCGAAGCCTGCCTTTTGCCATAATTGCGATTCTGTCACTTAAGATGTCGGCCTCTTCCATAGAATGAGTTGTTAGAATAATTGCACGCCCCTTTTTAGCACCTTCGATAACATCCCATACATGTCTTCGAGTTATTGGATCCATACCTGTGGTCTGTCAGTTCAAAAAGAACTTGCTGTCAATTTGTTACCAGAGAATCTAAATTCTAATGGAGCATATAAAGAATATATTATTTAAAAAAAAAAAAAAAAGATTGTTGACTAACCGGCTCATCCAAAATAACTAATTTCGGTTCACCAATTAGGGCAATAGCAACACTGAGGCGACGTTTCATTCCCCCACTATAGCTACACGATCTCACTTTGGCTGCCTCGGTGAGTTTTACTTCTGTTAATAATTTCTCTACAACCTGTTTTTCAGAAAGAAACAATTATTTGGCATTACTTTCGACAGTTAAACGATGTCCGTGTTTTTTTTTATATACCGAAAAAAAAGGTTTAGGATTGTAGAGTACATACTGAATCAACCGAAGCAGGGTTTAGGCCCTTAATGCTGGCAAACAGGTAGAGGTGCTCTTGACCAGATAATGCATCCCACAGGACATCAAACTGTCATATCAACATTAAAATAATTAAAAGCCATATTAAAATAGTAAATCGAAAGCTACATATATTACTCAAAAGATAATGAGGAAAAGCTAAGACGGAAGAATTACCTGCGGACAAACACCTATCATTTTGCGAATGTTCGACATTCCAGTAGAGCTTCGGATGGAATAGCCATGAATTAAAGCTATCAACATATAGCAGAGTTAGGAATTACGAGTCTTGATAATATTGAAAAAATAAAAATAAAAAAGTTGTGAAATTTGAATAATCAAAATAACAACTCCCTCACCATCTCCACCAGTGACGGGTGTAATTCCAGTCAAACAACTAATAGCAGTAGTTTTCCCAGCTCCGTTGGGTCCAAGAAGGCAAAAGAGCTGATCTTTGGGAAAGTTCAGCCATATGCCCTGCATGTACAATATCGCTCATGCGCATCAAACATGAAATTTTCATAATACAATGTAACTTAGAGAAACAATATATCTTATCAACATACAAAGTAAACCCACACCAACTATCTACCTTATACATAAATATCGACTCTTAAATATAATCTTCTATTTAGATCCAGCTGTGTTGCATCTATGTCTTAACTATTGCTCAATAGTAAAAAGAAAAAAAAAAAAAAATATATATATATATATATATATATATATATATATATATATATATTTACCTTGAGAGCATGGTAAGGTGGGGTCCTCTTGCATTTGCAGCAACCAATATTTGTTGCACCAGCATAAGTTTTAACAAGACCACGTATTTGAACTGCAATATTTGAATCGACAGTGCCTTCTGTGGCTTGCTGTTTCACTTTGCTTTCCTCTTCTTGTACGTCCTCATCATCGGGAACAATATTTTCCAGAGGTGGAATTGAACTCAAACAACTGCAAATGCTTCCCTCTGAAACTCGGAAAAAAAAAACATTTTATTAAAGTCTCAATAACCACCAAAAATTAAGCAACTGAAAAAATCATAGAATGTCGTTTATACCTTTCAACTTGTTACCACCTTTGCCAGTCCAGTAGCCAGGATTCAAAAAGTAGAACACCGATTTCCTCACACCAGATGTATTCGCCAAAATATTGTCAAAGTAGATGGCCAGAATAAACCACACAATGGCTGTCGAGATAAGCCATATGTAAATATCATTCTGGCAATTATTTAAAAAAAAAAGTTAGTGGCAGCAGAAGAATCATTTCATAGTTTTGAACGTTGAATAAATTGTAAAAATTGACATACAATTTTTATGACGCACTCTACATCATTTGGCGCACATTTCATTCTTCCACTCCAACTAATACCAGGATCTTGAGGAGTTGAAGTTGCATCGGAAAGCAAGTTCAAACCTGCAGCAAGAAGATTAGGCGGAAAGAGTGACCACACACTTCGGTACGTCTTTGAGAAGCTCTGACTGTAAGGAAATCCAAATAATGTAACAAGCTGGAAAAAGAACGAACAAAGATCTGTTATTAGTAGTGATGGGAGTGTGTTTAGTAATTATCAAGTGAAGACATTTGATCACAAGACACAAACCTGAGTAATGAAACCAATGATAAAGATTGAGTATCCCACAGTGGTGGACGAGGAAGACTTGTTAATGAAGGCAGACAGCATAAACGCGAACCCAGTCTGGAAAAATGAAGGAGCCATCATAAAAATAAATCATAAAATAAGATGTTAATAATGTGACATTGGGGTGAAGAAAAAGCCTACCATATTCAATTGGAAAAGGAAAAACAAGAGGAAGACAATAGCAAAATTGTTGTGCAGAAAGAAATCGAATTGGAACATCATTCCGAAGAGTACTGTGAGAAGCGATGAAAGAAACGTCATTATTCCCTCCCAAGTGAACCACGATAGCCAATATGCTGTGTCGTAAAGACCCATCATTGTCATGGCCTGTTCATGAAGAAAAAAAATCATTGATTTTAATCTCCATCAGATTTAAATTAATTCAAGACGCAAACTAATTAATACCTGACGAAGTTTAAGTTCTTTCTCTGTAATCAAAGCACTGATTTGGAAGACAAAAGAAAACATGGCAATAGCCAGGAAAAATGTCGGTCCTGCTGTTTGTACAGCAGAAAAGATTTCAAGTGCAGGGTGGGCAAATTCCTTTAGACTTACGACCCAACTAAAGCTGGGATCTGAAATATACACAGACACAAAAACGAATATTATAGAGAGAGAAAAAAAATGACGTGTTTGTGCAATAAGTTCGAAGATTCGAATCGAATATTTAAATGATATACCGCCAATTAAAGTTCTTGCAATCTCGCGCTCTGCAGCAAGTTGAAGAGGAATTTGAAATGTTAAAGTTGGATCTTGAAAATTTCCTCGCTTAGCAACTGGAGTAGAATTAGTCTGTACCCCATAGCTTATTACGGTAGCGTTTCTGTCTATGAAATGGAGAGCACCAGGACAATACATAGGATTGCTTGCAAGCCAATCGTCTGTTTCATTTCTTGTTTTGAACGATATAACCTGCCCAAGCATGATACAGCAGCACATTCATGATACCGGCTAAATTTCTAAAAAAAACGGCAGAATTGAATCTTATCTTTTACGAGATTAAATAATAAAATTATTACCAAGGTTATCGCAAAAGATTTTTGACTACTTATTTGCCACTCTCTCTCGAGGACAACATCAGTTAAGGAAGTTGTAGTTTTGGAAGTACTCAATGAATAAAAGACACAATTTAGAGTCTCGAAAAGATATTGCACGCGCACTGAAAATTATGGAGATTATTTCCACATGTTTAACAAAACTACCAATTGAACAACAGTGCTACTGTACTATAGGCAGTTTCTATAGTTCAATATCTATTATCCTAAAATCTATTCCGATAAGATTTACTTAATCAGAACTGGGCAGACGAGTATGATTCACTTAATATTTTACTGTACATTGTCAAATATTCTAATATATTTGAAGGATCTTATTTTAAGAGTATTGTAAATAAGCATCTCGAGCACAAAACTCAATTCAGATAAGCAAAAAAAAAAAAAACATCTGAATGAAGGAACAACATCTGCTTTCCTATTTCTAGCATTGAGCTTCGAAAATCGAATAAATTAAAAGCAAGAATAGTTTACTCTAGTGATGAACAAATAAAATAAAATAAAATAAGTTAAATTACACCTTTATTTAACAACTAAATCATACACAAATACCCAAATTCACCAAGATTGCAGCATAATTAATATCCGAAATGCATAAATACAAGACAAAAATCAAATAAACATAGACGATCTACACGAAATTTATTACTCGAAAACCAAAGGATTCCAACAATTAATCAAACAGTATAACTGCAAAAATAAAGAGGCCTGGAAATAAATCAGAGAAAATTCAAACAACAAAAAAAAAAAAAAAAAAAAAATTAAATTACCCTGTCCTCAGGAATGGGCCTGCCGGGATTGTTAACCCTAATCCTCCGCACAATTTCCTCAATTCTCGCATTGCCACTCCCGCTCCACACAAAGTCAAAGCACGGCAATTTGGTGTAGTACTTATCCTCGCACGGCGGAATCGGCGGCGCCACCAGCGGCGACGGGTCGGCGTCGTTCTGGAAGGAAGAAGACGATCCGTAGCGAGACTCGACCGCTTTCTGGATGAAGAAGAGGAGCAGGATGAAGAAGATCGATGAGAAGAGCTGGAGGAACGTGGACCGCTTGTTCCGCCATGAGAGCAGCAGATTCTTAAAAAACAGAGCTTTGTACTGTTGCGCCAAGAGAGGAAATCCTCTCTGCAACTCCATTTTCAGGGACAATTGTGCAAAAAAAAAGAAAATTCTCTGTGATTTGGGGAAGATATTTTTATGTATACTTGGAATCGTTGGAGACTTTTTTTTTTTGCAGTTAAAAAGGCTGCGGGGATTTATGAAATTATATTTACGATTTACCCCT